TGCAATTCAATTTAAGTCCTGGTTGAGGTCCGGAAGGAGCTGGGGAAAACTGCTGTTCTGAGCAGAAACCTCATGCCTAAGGCATTTTAACCCCTTTTTTATTTGGTAATCAGACAGGTTTGGATGAAAATTATGATACCTTAGTTTTTGAGAACAAAGCAATGTTAAGCTCATTAATGAGATAAGCCGCTGGCTGTTGAGCAGATCCATTTCCTTGTCTGACCATTTCTAGGGTTATTCTTCTTCTCTCAGTGATAAACAGGTTAAATCTTGCTCCAAAGCCTGTTCATAACTCAGGGGGAGTAAACCTTTTGGTAACAGGCTTTTCAGATATTTCTAGGAGGTCTAAGGTAAGAGGTGAGAACAGAAAAGCTGGCACTTACATTCAAGAGAAAATTGACCTCTTGGCTCCCTAAGGAGAAGCAGGAACAGCATACTCAAAGCAGGACATTTGAGGCTAAAGTTGGGCTAAGTAATAGCATAACATCTTTCAAGGTAAGGTCAAACATCTGGCAAAAGTTCTGAAATATCTCAATATAAAAATAGATTGAGTACATCTGAGCACAGGAACAGTAATGGGAGTTTTAAACTGGCTTATGAAGGCTAACTGTGTGAGCAAAGGGAACCTGGATGTTTTCTTACTAATTATCCCATGTCTTTCTTTTAGTTCTCCAATCTGAATTGCTAGTGTTTCTGATCAGCAAAGGAAGGGAAGTATCCAGGAGGGAATCAATGCAGGGGGAGAAGGGAATCCTCCTGAGAGTCCTGTTATGTTCTCACATTAGATTAGAGGCAGCACCTTTTGTATCCAACTTAGTTTTTGACCATTAAGACTCCTTATTAATTATTTTACCTCTGACAAACCAACTTTCAACTGTAAGATTGTATAATACTTCAGAAAACCATTCAAAGACCAGATTGTTACAGTAAAGCATCATCTTTTTAGACACATTTACATCTCTAAGTGGCCCATTCAGCCAAAATCATTCCCAAGAAACAATTTATAAGGTCAACACATTATCGCCCATGTCTTAAAGGGCCATAAACAGATACAAACAAAAAAACGCAGTGACAGACACAGAGGATCTCCAAACTATGGCTGACAGACAGGAACCTTTAAAACAGACCAGCTAAGGGAAAAATCTCCCCAAGTTCCCAACTCCCACTTAACCGTAGCTCTTACATCAGTGGTGCCACAGATGTCCCCACAAGGGAAACAGATGCTCCCACAAAGGGGAACCAGAAGAATCACTCAAGGGTCTTGGTGTGGCAACTTTACTGTATTCAGTTTCCTTTTTCTCAAAGTAGACAAAGATGGAACAATCATTACAGTGCAGAGAAGGAAAGCAGGAGTTCCCCAAAGCAAAAGGGACTTTGTGCAGCTGCTGGGAGTCCCTCAGTCCCTCCCTTTACTTACAAGAATAGCTCCTCTGGTTTGGTTCAACCCCAGGCACACTCACCTGTCTCCTAACTTTCCAGTAGTCATCTCTCAAAAAGTTTGCTTAGAGAGCCATGCCTGCCCAAGAAAGTGGAGTGGGGCTGCTCCGGTGTCCCAACAGGGGTGCCAGAATGTGCAACTAAAAGTTCAGTCCCTGTCCTCAAAGCTAATTAATGCCAATTTAATAATGAGGACATGGTTTTGAGAAAAAGGAAAAAGAAGGTTTATTGCTTTGCTAGCAAAGGAGTAAAATAGGGGACCCCAGTCCCAAAGTCTGTGACTCTCTCAATCAGGAGGGACAAGGGATTTTAAATGAATTTCTCAAGAGTTACATTCCAGTAGGGGTTCCCAGGGCCCCCTGATGGCATGTTAGGATTCACTTGTTAATTTGGGAGATGTTCATTTCCCAGATCCCCAGCAGGCATCTCCCTCTTGCAGTGGGTGTGCTCAAGAGCAGCCAATTAGGGGAAGAAAAGATAACACTGTCTCCCAAATCCTGCTAGGAAGGGGGAGAGGGGAGAAGAGAGAAAAAAAACACTTTTAAAAAAATAAATCTTAGAGCAATGAGGGATACATTTAGAAGGTGAAGAGATCACTGTTACAATTCTATCTCACAGAAAGTTCAAAATCCTGCTTAATGAAGGGGAGTAAAGTTTGTCAAAGTTCCTTAAAACACAAGTCAAAGGAGTGTCAGGATTACTTGCCTTATTACCCATTTGTTGTTGTTCAGTTATCTTAAGTTTATACCAGAGAAGAGACACAACAAAAAGGCAAATATATATATCAGGTGCCAAAACCCAGGGAGCAGTGCAACATCTTGCTAATGCTCCAGACAAGAGTGTGTATTTGCCTTGTCAGACACCTCACTGTCCCCAAAAGAAATGCCTCACGAAACCTTTACCACAGGACAGTGCGACATTTTGCTACTGTCCCAGACAGGAGGTCATGTGTTTCACCAGACACCTCACTGTCCCCAGAAGAGATCTCTCTTAAACCCAATACTAGATGTTGTGGGGGCTCCATTTACCTATGGAAGCCTCCTCCACTGGATGCTTGCTAGTTGTTTTAGTGTGGCAGTTCACTCAAGCAATCCCATGAACTAAAGGCATGCCTAGGGGCCTTGGAATGTCTCAAGGTGAGAACCCCCTGGGGCAGCACTCCTCTACGGAGTCCCAGAGCAAAGGTCTGGCTTCAGAATTTTGGTTGTCTGAATCTCACAGGGGCCCCAAATGTTGAACCTGCAACACAAAGACAAGACCACCGACTCCAATTTTAAATTAAAGCAAGTTTATATTGTGTACACAAGAGAGCTAATCTGGCCAGTGGCTGTCTCACCCAAAGCCAGTCTAGAGAACAGCATCCCAGCTCTCCAGGAAAAAGGGTTTATAGCACAAAAAGTTACAAAGGGGAGTGTCTTGGGAACTTTCAGCTAACAGGATTCTGGCAAGCATAATACAAAGGCAGATAGCAGGTTAATGATCTACATGGCTTAACATTTCAAGGTAGGGGGTAAATTGAGATTCTAACATCAGAATTTATGAGGGGCTAACTAAGGTTTTAGGGAGGGTTGTTATCTGGTCAAGGAGAGCCAGGCATGGGTGAGTTTAGAGCATGGGCAGGAATTCCAAATAAAATTAGCCCTCAGAGTATGGTCAGGCCAAATAGATATCTTAGTAAAACAGAAATGAACTTTTTATAACTTTATGATGAGATGGCTCCCAATCTTAGGATAGAATTAGGTTGGGTTCATCAATAGAAAATATATTCCTTTCTCTTTTTGATTCCTTTTCTTTTCAGTGGGTCTTATCCTACAGAAATTATCAAATACACCCTTACCATCAAGTCTCATCTTCACTATAAATGAGAAAAATATATCCCTGAAATATGTTTATCATGCTTGAATCAGTTCTAAAAAAATTGTTAACCACTGGCATAAATTGATCTTTATAGGCTCTCTCTGTCTCTCATTTATGCACACACACATACGCACACTCACACACACTTAAGACCTATCTAAATGTTATTTCTGATGCCACAATAGCACAAGGTGGAAACAATAGCAAAGCGGTGTTGGTTTGGCAGAAGAAAGAATGTGCTGATAATCAGAGATATTCAAAGGTATAAAGGACCATTTCATAAGGAGGTGAGCACTCTGTAATTGGAGGCATGTAAGTCCAGGTTAGACAACCACCACCTCACAAATATGTTTTCAGGACATTCAGATATCTGATGGGAATTTAGAAGCTTCTCAGGTAACATGAAAAATTAGAAAACAAAAGAGGTTTCTTTTCCTTAAGGGTTGCTAGAGAGTAAACAGGCAAACATGGGGCATGGAGAAGGGTGGGCTGGGAGTTGATGGAACATTTAAAAAAGATATTCTAGGCCCCTTTGATCCTGTTGAGTCCCTCTTTTTAGAAGTACATAAATGTTAATCCCTCCCTTAGGCCCTGATCAGTCTTGAGATTGCGAACACATTAGTTTTGTGGAGTTGAAGAAGCCATGTGAAGTGGAGACACCACAACTACTATGTGGATTCTAGTCCTTTTTCCTAGTGCAAAACTGCTACTGCAGCTTGTCCTGGAGAGTTGCTCAAGGGACCTATTCTAATGAACAGCCTAGAATGAAGAGAACATCTTCTCAAGTGTGTAAATAGTGATTCTGAAATATTTAAGGGGGCTTGAAAATGGCTTATTCTCTTAAGTATCCTATTCATTTAAACAAAATATATCAAGAATGTCCAATAACAGATTCAGTTTGCTAGGCAGGAGCCCACAGAAGTGGAGCAAGGAGCCTTCAAATAGTTAAGACCATGATGGTGCTTTCCAAAGAGACCTAGCTTTGGAGGTGAGACCAACATAAATCCAAATGACGCCACCAGTAAGCTGTGGTCCAGCAAGAAGATGAGGAAATTAAGTGGGAATGCCCTGGGCTAGCTTGGGGCTGGAGGGAGCATGGGGGCATAAGAGGGAATGGGGAGCCTTGAAAGGTCAGTTTAGATGTATGTAGGCAGCACGGAAGGGAAGGGTATTCGAGGCAGAAGGGACCCCAGTAGACAAATGCACAGAAGTGACAGTTTGCATCTATTTCCCTTCACTTCCACAAAAGCCCTCCATTTCCTCTTGGTTACCTTCCTTTGTCACCATTTGGGGGCAAAAGGACTTCACTTCCAAAACCCTCCCCGTTCAGGCCTGCCTATCAGTTCACAGCTTCTCCCTGGTCATGGTGATTGGTTCAAGATGAGCCTGAGGCCTGTGACAGTCCAATCATAGCAGAACCAGAATTAGATGAGTGCATGTATTTTGTTGCCTTTTTGAATCTGGGGGCCACCTTGCTGAAGCTGTTGGGGACAGGCTTCAATTACTGAGGAGGGCTCTGTTGCAGCCATCATGGGAAGTCACCAAATCAAATCAGCATCCAGGATGAAGTTATTATAACCTTCCTGAAATTGATGTTGAGATGAGAGAATCTTAATCAGAATTTTATTTGAAAAAAAAGGGGGGGAGAGGAACCAACAGCTTGGGCGTGGGCTGGTATCCTGGGACTGTGGTTTGCAGGGTCCACCATGGAGCCAAAGCAGATGCTGGAAGGACAGATGCAGGTTGCAGAAAACCCTCACTCTGAGTATAATCTGATCAACAATGTTGAGAGGATAGTAGAAAATGAGAATATAAATGTAGAAAAGTCATCAAAACAGAAGGTGGATTTACAGTCTTTGCCAACTCATGCCTACCTGGATCAGATGGTGGTGCCTATCTTATTACAGGGACTTGCTGTGCTTGCAAAGGAAAGAGCACCAAATCCCACTGAATTTCTAGCATCCTATCTTTTTAAAAAAAAGGCACAATTTGAAGACCAAAACTGACTTATTGGGAAGAACAGAAAAATGTGGTTGCTACTGTAGATTTTTACATGATTAAGAGATAGCTTTAATTGCCATGATTTTTCCCCTTTTTGGAAGTATAAGAATCTTCAGGACAACAGAATTTATTTACGGAGTTATGGAAGGGAACATATTTCCCTTATTTTGATTTAATCACCATACTTATTTAATGAGTATATTCTGTACAATCTTTTCTCAGATTGTCTTTAAGTTTGATTGAAAAATGACCTTCAAAATAAACTGTCATAATGCCATTATTTTAAAGTAAAAAAGAAAAAAAGGGGAAAATAAATGGGTAGCAACATATTTTCCGATGTTCTGATTCTGTGTTCCCAAAGCCCCTTCATCTAGGGTTCTTAGCTGCCTTGAAAACAAGAAGGCATACTCAGTATTTGAACACCCTGCCCCACACTGGAGGTGGCCTCTCTAAAGTCTGTAACAAGCCAAATGTATGTTGACAGTTACACAGCAATGCTCAACAGTACTCTTCACCAAATTCAGAAATATCCACTGGATAAATTTTAAGACAGGAGCTTCAGTAGGCCATTGCAGGGAGGGCTCTGGCACTATCTGTGAATATAAAGTGTTCTGTATCCTTCTTTCTGTAATTCTCCAGTTAAAAAAAAAAAACTATTTGGCTAGAACTCTCTATTTGTTATATACACATCCCACCCCTTTCAAGGAAAGTATCAGTTCTCAGATAATCAAGTCTAAATCCACATTTTAAAAGTGATAACATTTTTTCCTGAAATCAGACCGTGATTGATTTTGAGTTTTACATTATTTTGCAAAGTGGTTTCTGTTCTAACTTTCTATTGGTATGGAGAACTGAATTCTACCGCAATGCTTTGTTTAAAAACAGAAACATTAAACCCTGTTGACACAAAGAAATTATAGCAGAAGCTTTGAAATTCAGTAACTTCTTGTTTTGTTTTTTTGTTGTTGTTGTTGTTCTGTTTCTGATTTTTACTTTGGGCCGGGTCAGATTTCTAGCTTTGGTATATAGTATCCATGAGGAATATGTTTCAAGATCCCCCAGCGGATGCCTAAACCCTATATAATGTTTTCCAATATATGTACATCTATGATAAAATTTAATTTATAAATTAGGCACACTAAAGTATTAATAATAACAAATAATGAATTATAATAATATAATAAGTTATTTAGAACTTGTGAATTATTTCTGGAATTTTCCATTTAATATTTGCATGTGTTTGTTGACCAGGGGCAACTGAAATCATAGAATGTGATATTATGGATAAGGGGAGACTATTGTATTCCCCCTTTAAATTTTTTGTTTGTTTGTTTTTTAGTTGTAGATGGATACATGCCTTTATTTTGTTTATTTGTTTTTATGTGGTTCTGAGGATCAAACCCAGTGCCTCACATGTGCTAGGCAAGCACTGTACCACTGAGCTACAACCCCAGCCGTATATTCCCCTCCTTTTTTTTTTTAAAGAGAGAGAGAGAGAATTTTTTTTTAAGAGAGAGAGTATTTATTTATTTAGTTTTCGGCGGACACAACATCTTTGTTTGTATGTGGTGCTGAGAATCGAACCCGGGCCGCATGCATGCCAGGCGAGAGCGCTACCACTCGAGCCACATCCCCAGCCCCGTATATTCCCCTCCTTGATCTTTGAAGATAGAAAGGAACTCTTACAGCTTCATTTAAATGGAATAAACTTCATAAGAATAGACACCAGATATTCAAAGAAGCTTTGCCTCTAGTGGAATAGTAGATGAATTTAATTTCTCCAGATTATCAGCAAGGAACATATAGTACATTGTCTTTTACTCTGTATTTTAATGACAACAAAAAAACAGTGTAAAGCATCATAGATACCATAAGAGACTCATTAAAAGATTTTATAGCATTTTCCTGAAAATGAAATACTTTTCTTTCACTAAGAAAAAAAACATTTAAAATAGCAAATGCTTCCTTTTTCTCAAGAGAAAAACAATAATCTTTGATTTGTTCAATAAATAAAGATTTCCCCAAATAGGCTTTCTTTAAACATTAGAATTTTTGACATTTCAGGGATGTAGTATGCTCACTTTATACACAATAGCAAACATGATAAAATGTTAAAATCACCCTTGAAACTGAAAATTAGCCAGGCCTGGTGGCACAGGCCTGTAGTCCCAGTGATTTGGGAAGCTGAGGCAGGTGGATTGCAAGTTCAAAGCCAGCCTCATTTATGTAGTGAGGTCATAAGCACTTTAGCAAGACCCTGTCTCAAAATAAAAAATAAAAATGGCTAGGGATGTGGCTCAGTGGTTAAGCAGCCTGGGGTTCAATCCCTGGCTCAAAAAAGAACCTAAAAATTAATAAAACTAATGATACAAAATTTTTTTTCATGGCTCAGGAGGCTGAGTAAGAGGATCACAAATTCAAAGCCAGTCTCAACAATTTAGTGAAGCCCAAAGCAATTTAGTGAGATCCTGGCTTAAAATTTAAAAAAAAAAATTTAAAAAGGGCTGGGGATGTGGCTCAGTGATTAAGCACCCATGGGCTCAATCCCCAGAACCAAAAAAAATTTAAAATTTTCAATGTTTTCCTAAAAAATAGTTTCATATTTTAAAGACTTATTAGAAAAGTGAAAGTACAAAGTAACTTGTAAAACAAGGTATGCAAGCAAATAGGCAATTTACTATGCAATTGTTATCCTCATCCATTTTAAGATATTATATAAAAACTATACATATTAAAAATAAATTTTACCAAAGGGGCTTATGGGGTGAGAGTTGGGGAGAGTTTTCTGGAATACTCATGAAATTTCTATTTCTTGATCTGAGCACTGGTAATAAAGATGCATGGATTTGGGAAAACTCATGGAGCTGGACCATTACAAATTGGGCACTTTTCTGTATGTGTGTTATATTTCAATAAATACTATTAAAAACAAAAAAGGGAGAAGTCGGAGTTGAATGTTACAGAATTTCAGGGTGGTTATGGAGCCTTAACTTGTTGGATATTATGAACAGTTATAATAATATTGGCTACCATATGTATGTCTATTAATTATTATAGTGAACCTTTTGCATATATTAATAAATTTAATCTTCCCTAATCTAATGAGTTATGTACTAGTATAATCCTCATCTTACAGGTAAGGAAGCTGGTATACAGTTTTAGTCAGCTTTTTTGCTGCTGTGACTAAAGGATCCAACCAGAACAATTGTAGAGGAGGAAAAGTTTATTTGAGGGCTCACAGTTTCAGAGGTCTTCGTCCATAAGAGGCTGGCTCCATTCCACCAGGCTTGAGGTGAGGCAGAACATCATGGCAGAAGAGTGTGGCACAGGGAAGCTGCTCACATGAAGATCAGAAAGCAGAGAGAGTTTCTACTCTCCAGATATAAAAATATGTGCTCCAAAGCCACGCCCCCAAATTCTACCTCCTCCAGTCACACCCTACCACTTCAGTTACCACTCAGTTAATCCCTATCAGGGGATTAATTCACTGATTGGATTAAGACTTTTACAGCCCACTCGTTTCTCCCCTGAACCTTCTTGCATTGTCTCACACATGAGTTCTTAGGGGACACCTTGAACAAGGAAGGTTACTAGTCTTTCAAATAAACTACTCTTTTAAGAAGTTTATAGTTTATAAAAAGAGATCAGTAATCCATGCAGAAAGCAAGGAGGTTAGTTGGGTGTAGTAACACACACTTGTAATCCCAACGACTAGGGAGGCTGGGGCAGAAGAATTGCAAGTTCAAGGCCAGCCTCAACAACTTAGTGACACCCTGTCTCAAAAAATTTTAAAAAAATGATAAAGGGAGGGGGGATTTAAAAAAGGAAAAGGAATGTAGCTCAGTGGTAAAGCACCCCTGTGTTTAATCTTTAAAACTATAAAATAAAAATTTAAAAGAAAAGGCTGGGGATGTAGCTCAGAAGTTGGATGCTCCTAGGTTCAATCCCCAGTACTGCAAAAAAGAAAAAAAGAAATCAGTTTGTTTATTTATTGTTCTTCTATTGTGGGCAGAGTGCATTTGTGGTCTGAGAAGAGACACCTGAGAAAGAGAAGGAGAGGGAAAGTGAAAGAACTTGGTCCTCTCCAAGGAGACCAGAACAGGATGGTACAGATTTGTCCAAGACAAAGGCACCTTCTAAGATCTGAAGAGAAGTGAGATCTGTGCAGAAGAAAACAGAGTGAGACTACACTTTTGCTGAGTGATGAGGCGTCCAGGAATGAGTAAAGAAAACTGGAGAAAATCCCCAATGAGGACTGCTCAGTGTTTATCAGTTAAAATGATGACAGTTGTTAATTTTTGGTTCCCACCTCTCTTGATGTAGAGTCCCTGTGCCTGGATTTTTAACAAACTCTAAAGGTGATTCTGATGACCCCTAACTTTTTTTTTTTTTTTTTATTGAACCCAGAGGCACTAAGCCACATCTCCAGCCCTTTTTATTTTGTATTTAGAGATAAAGTCTCACTAAGTTGCTTAGAGCCTCATTAAGTAGCTGAGACTGCCTCAGCCTCCCAAGCCACTGGGATTATAGGCATGTGCCACCCTTCCTGGCCTGATAACCCCTAACTTTGAGAAATAAACTGGCATCTGAGATCCATAAACCTCAGAGAATGAAGGGAAGATGGTTCACCCTGTAAGAAAGAGCATGGAGGGGGCTGGGGATGTGGCTCAAGCGGTAGCGTGCTCACCTGGCATGCGTGTGGCCCGGGTTCGATCCTCAGCACCACATACAAACAAAGATGTCCACCGAAAACTAAAAAATAAGTATTAAAAATTCTCTGTCTCTCTCTTAAAAAAACAAAACAAAAGAAAGAGCATGGAGGGACAGCTTTCCCAAGGAAATGGGGCATTTTATTTTGATTTTTATTGTTGTTTCATTTGAATGTAGATTACTTTTTATATGTATTAACTCATTAATTGTACATATTAATATTATTCTATGTTATTCTGTGTACCACACCTAGGAAATTTTGCTTCTAGGATGACAGTGGGTAAACATGTGGGCT